GGTGATTGTTGTTAGCGCAATTACCCTTGTTTCACCTGTCGGAGCTCGAATACTTTTGTCTCCCGCCGTAGAGCATCTCCCGCGTTCACACTAGTCTTGCTATTCCCCGGTTTTCTGATCAAAACGCGCTTGAGTTGACGGGAGTGGGTCCGACATCTGTTGTCTACGTAAGCATCGTGTTTTTTAGGGGTCAACAGATTAGCGCCGTCTGTGGGGAAGAACTCGTTGATGGCGATGCAGCCCTGCCTCGGAAAGCACTATAAATAGAACATCTTTTCAACTGAAAAAGGGTTGGATCCTGAGATTTTAAACTCTTAAACCCTCGATAAAAAATGATGCAAAATTCTAAACATATCATCTAGTTTTGCTCCTCACACATATTTTAGTTGGATCTTTTACTTGGTTTCAATTAGCATTCGATTGGTTATTATTGTTAGCGCAATTAACCTTGTTTCACCAGCCGGAGCTCGAACACTTTTGTCACCCGTCCCGCCGTTGAGCATCTCCCACGTTCACGCTAGTCTCGATATTCACCGATTTTCGGGTCAAAAAGCGCTGAAATTGGCTTGAGTTGACGGGAGTGGGCCCGGCATCTGTTGTCCACGTAAGCATCGCCTTTTTTGGGGGTCAACAGAACTGATAATTCGATTGGTGATTGTTGTTAGTGCAATTACCCTTGTTTCACCTGTCGAAGCTCGAACACTTTTGTCTCCCGCCGTAGAGCATCTCCCGCGTTCACACTAGTCTTGTTATTCCCCAGTTTTCTGATCAAAACGCGCAGGAATTTGCTTGAGTTGACGGGAGTGGGTCCGACATCTGTTGTCTACATAAGCATCGTGTTTTTTAGGGGTCAACAGATTAGCGCCGTCTGTGGGGAAGAACTCGTTGATGGCGATGCAGCCCTGCCTCGAAAAGCAGGCTGCTCATCAGAAGTGGGGGAAAGGAGTTCTATGTTATATGGGATCTGGTATTTTTCCTTAAGGTTGGCTAGGTGGGTCGGATTTACAGAAGATGGGATTTGGTTGCCCCTCATGCTACCTCATTGTCTTTCTTACCTCCCAAGAGGCAGTACACTTTGTCCAGCCTGAATGGCTCGCACTAGGTCTGCCGTGCTAGTAATCTCAACTCCCATTTTAGCCGCTACCTCACTAATGTCAACGTTCCCCCCAAAAGAGTTTTGAGATGCCATTGATTTATATTTAAAGTTAAAAGTTTAAGATACTTACGAGTTGGATTAACGAATGGTGAAATATAGCCAAAAAGTGAAAAGTGCAGAAGAAGAGAAAAAAAGATTTTTAAGAAATTCAAATGAGGAATGTGTTAAAGGCAATAGTGATATTTTGCCATGAATCTTCCCCTTTTATAGACAGAAGCCTTCAAATCCCAACCGTTGGATGTCGATTCGGATCATCCAACCATTCATTTAAGGTTTTAATCTGGACCACTCAATGCATCAACCGCTTCATCTACTACGGTCCAAATCAGAGCATCTACCTCACGCGCACTCGTGCGCCCTAACTCGCAAAACGGGTGCAAAACAGCCATCATTGAGCATTAAATGCTGTGACGGTTGTGTGCGTAGGAAGTTGAACCGCCTCAGCTGTTTTTTCTTGGAAGCGTACAAAGATAGCAAATCATTTTGGCACAATAATTCAGGACACCTCGTGTCACCCAAACGTTTTAAAAAATCAATCTCCTCGTAATTAGCAACCTAAAGACCTAGTAACGGTCATAGCTACTTCTCATCAAACAGTTCGGATAGGGCTTCAGGTGTACAAATGCACTTCGGACAATACAGCCTTGGACTTGATTCACTTTGCTAACACTCCTCAGGATTACTACGAAGAGAGAAATATCTCGAAGTATACAACTTCGGACAACACTAGCAGGCAATTGACACAAATCAGGTACATTTAAACTCAAAGTACAAATACTGTGATATGGTAAAAAATCATCCCCAACAAAACCTTTTGCATAAGTCCATGCTTTACATTTAATCATGCCTAAACTTGAGAGACTATTGTTACGCCTCGCCTCGCCTCGCCTCCCCTCCGAGGCTTAAGTCAAAATGCCACGAAGCAATCCACGTAGGCAGAAAAGTCAACAAAGACCTAACTTATCAAATGTAAAGAAATTGTATGAATGGCCGAAACTCTTATGCCGGAGCACTGCCTAACAGCTGAAGTGCACAAATCTGAGGCGCTGCACAAAGAAATCAAAGAAGCCGAGATTCTTCACCCAAAAGACCAATATAAAGCCTCATCCAACCGAGGCCCTCATTTCACTCGAAGCTCATGAAGTTGAAATTCTCTTAAAAGATCCTCAAGCAATCTTTAAACGTGATTGACGTAACGTTTGTAATTAAGAGTGTTGGGTGTGTCAGCCTATTGTATAGGGCGGTTTACCCATTGTCAATGTATTTATTGTATGATAGACAGTGTTGTGAAGCTTCAGTCAAAGAGATGAGTCAACGTGGTTCTGATCCAATTGACGCCACATCGGCCAAAGCACTATAAATAGAACATCTTTTCAACTGAAAAAGGGTTGGATCCTGAGATTTCAAACTCTTAAACCCTCGATAAAAAATGATGCAAAATTCTAAACATATCATCTAGTTTTGCTCCTCACACATATTTTAGTTAGATCTTTTACTTGGTTTCAATTAGCATTCGATTGGTTATTGTTGTTAGCGCAATTACCCTTGTTTCACCAGCCGGAGCTCGAACACTTTTGTCACCCGTCCCGCCGTTGAGCATCTCCCACGTTCACGCTAGTCTCGATATTCACCGATTTTCGGGTCAAAAAGCGCCGAAATTGGCTTGAGTTGACGGGAGTGGGCCCGACATCTGTTGTCCACGTAAGCATCGCGTTTTTTGGGGGTCAACAGAACTGATAGAAACCAACAATTTACCTCCTGACAGTATTCCCCACAGAACCCACAAAGAGCCAAAAATAAAATCAAATCTTTCCATCAAAATCCCCAGCTCCCATCGCCAGATTCAATTACCTACAACAAACGTAGCGATAGAAAATTAAAATAATAATAATAATGACCTCGCATTTGCATTCAAATTGCAAGAAAATTTGTGTCCTCTGATTCCCAAATTAGGAGGGTCTTGAATTGTAAAGATTAGAGGTGCAGTCGTGCAGATATTCTGTGGGCAGCTCAAAAGGAAGAAACAGTGGGTTTCTATCACACTTTTTCAAAGACCCGGAAACTCACGCTTTGTGATAACCGACTAAGGGTCAAACAAGGAACAGTTGTCTAGCATGAACCCAATCTACCATAGTTATGCTCCATGCGTACACTATGACATTTGTATCCCATGTCACTTGTGCACCCACTATTGTAACCACCTCTGTCTCTTTCTTTCATTTTTCCTCAAATGTTCTTAATCTAATCCAATCCGCCTCCATTCCATTATGGGTTTTTGCTTCCATTTACCTTTTGCCCAATAAAATCTCTTTCAAAAGAGAAGCTGAAATGGTGGTTATGGTTTCTTGATTTACTTCACTGTGAAAACAATAAATCCGCCATGAAATTAATCGCTGTGGTTGGTAATATGTTTCTTTTTGCAATTGTAAGCAAATAACGTCTTTTTCTTTTAAAAAAAAAAAATTATGGAGTGTTACCCAAAAATAAAAGTTACAATAAAGATTCACATTTTCTATGACATACTGACTCGAATACTAAAATTTATGACAATGGTCAAGTTGAAATCAAAATTTAGTTCCATGTTTGACAAAGCTTTCTGAAATTATAAGTTGATGAATCTTATAAAATATGTCATTAAAAAGTGATTAGAAGTTATAGATACAATGAAATGTATTATTATTAATAAAGTTTGACCAATTTAAAAGCTAAAAAAATTTACCAAACAAGAGCTTAGTTACACATGAATTGAAGCTTTATGTACGATAGTTTCTTAGCAAAGGGGACGACTTTATTGACATGTTATTATTCGCATGTCCACTAGCTACAATGTTTTGCATTGAATGATTAGATATGCTGCATTAAATGGGGTCGAGTTAAAACAGTGGATATCCGGGCCAACTTGCGCACACCTCGACTAATCCCACGAGGTTTTGAAGTTTACGGTCGAATACTCACCTCAATGGCCCTGAGAGAACTCGAACTTGTTATCATTGGAGAGCAAACTCAGTGCATGACCAATTGAGCAACCCCTCAAGGTTGAATCGAGGAAAAAATAAGAAGCATTATTTTGATTTGAGAAGAATTGTCATTAATTGATTTTAATATAAGCTCGGATAGGAGGAAAGTCGATATTAATATTTAACTACATGTCAAACTACAATTCGCTCAACATTGTTTGTAGTGTTTATGGTACATTGCTAGATGAAAGCTTTAAAATGATGGCTCATCGCGAAGCTGTTTGATTAATTTTCATTAGATTTTTATTGTCATGTTTGTGTTCAAGATGTTACATATTCAAGTAACTATTTAACAAAATGTTACTTGTAAGAGGTGACTAAACTTAGGGATTGTTTGACACCCATTTTTGTGAAAGAACGTGTTTTTGAATAGTGATTGATGGAAGAATGTGTGATTAAAAAGTAAGGAGAATTTTTAGGTTTATGTGTAATATTATTTTATTGATAGAATGTGTGGTTGAAATGAAGAAAGAGAAAAAAATGAGAATGAGAATAAGAAAAAAATGGGTGCCAAACGGGGGCTTAATGTCTCGAAATTAATTAATTTTTTTACTTTTTACCGAAAAAATTTAATAATAAATTATTATTTTTTAAAATTTTATATTCCAAAATTTATTTAAAAGGGCTTTACATGAAAGTGTACCCACAAGTGTTGAAAATTAAAAAGTATTAAACCGCACAAAAGAAGAAAAAACCGCCATGGTAGCAAATATCAACAAGCTCAAGACACAAGAAGAATCCGTACAAAAGGAAAAGGGCAAAAAAAAAAAAAAGCAAACTAGAATGTGACATACACTAAATTTTCTCCCCCTCTCAAACTTTCCGTCTTAAAGTTCCGCAGAGTTGCTCCCACGGACAAACGAACCCCGTTGATGGCCACCAACAATCACGTCTTTAAGTCGAGATAAGGGACCAAGTATTCTGCCCATCTTCTGTACCAAGAAGAAATAGGACATTGGATTATAATATCAAAATGAGCTTAATGCATATGAAGTACAGCAAATAACTTTGAATAATGCTATTCATCATTAGTAGAGATCATTGTGGATCTAGATGACAGTGGATCCACCACTCCAGTGGACAATGAATCAGGGGGCCCACAACCACATAACTGATGATGATCTCTATTAATTATGAACAGCATTCCTCCTTTCAATTCAATACATTCTAACACAATATTTCATGTCAAAACACCACAATTAATCTGGGCCACACTGCGCTAATCCTCTCTAACCACGAGAATACACATCGACACGAATTAGGAGTTAATGAACCTTTTCACAGGAATCTTTCACAAACTTCCCAACTGATACTAATATTATCAACTAATCTGAAAAGTTGATTATGTAAAATTTGAGCTAAATGCATGTAAAGCTAAGTGTCAAGAACTGAAGCCTAGAAACAGTTACTGAATCATTGCTACTGCCCAGCATGGTATTAGAAGTCAAAACACCATAAGATTGGGCAAACTATGCTAGCATGCAGACTGAGGTGATGCGAAGTTTGTGAATACTTCCAAAATTGAGTGACTATTACATACTTTTAGAAAGTATATTCTGTTATTCGCGCTATTACTACAAAAGGGCCAGAAGAATGCAGTTTTAGCAGGTCTGGTTCCAGTTTGCTCCTGGATGAAGGGGAGTAAACAGAAAAAGTAATCACTTTATCACATTATTACCATCCTACAAGTTGATACATTTTCTATTAGCCATCAAAGTCAACATGCTTGCTACATAAACCCACACTATTCTGAGTCTCTGACTAAATGGCGATGGTTGCATATTGCACTCAGTCATACGTAACCTTAGACAGACACATCTAAAGCTTATCATGTCTAACAAAGAATAAAAATAACCATATTATATAACCCTTCGTCATTTCTTTCTCATTTTAACGCTTTCTTAAGTTGTAAAATTGCAAAACCATGTATCGTAACCATCTCCACTTTGCACAAGGCCTTAAATCAAACTAAAGAACTTTGATTAAAACTTTAGAATAGTTGTCCACCTTCATTTATTTATTTATTTTGTTTTCTCCTGAGGGGGCAGGGGAACTATGTAATGAGAGAAAACAAGGCCCAGGAAACAAGACTAAAAGGAAATGGATTCCAAGTGACGAACCCGATGGCATTGTAGCATATTTCTAAAATTTCATTCACTACACATCCTACCATCCATCTTTTCATTGCAACAACTAACAAGCAATCAACCATCCCAGATCTGGTAACTCAACGTTCTAGGTATCTTATCAAGCCGTGCATTGCTACACATACACTGAATCAAACTTGCACGTGTATTTAATTCCCCATTCTAATACAAAACATAGAGCATACTTCTAAACTTGAAAAGAAATAAAGCAGTACCCTAATCAAGACTTTTAGGGTACTAAGTATTTCAGATCTGCATAGCACTGTCAGATGGAACAAATGAAACAAAATCCAATTTACCAATCCAAATGTGGACACACTAAAATAATCAATATGTTTAAATTTTTGAAACTTAATACCTCATCGTTGATACCGAACTGCCGCTTAAGCTGAAAAACTTGCCACCTTTCTTCCCGCCACTTGTGTCCAATAATTACAAGTCCTGTGACTGCTGCAGCCATGAGAATAGACCAAAATGTGTTTGTCTCTTTTGCATGAGCATACAAAGAAAGAGCCCGCCTTTTCCACCAAGCTTTGCAAGGAAGGTCAGCACCATCATACTTTTCTTCCTCAACAGGCTTCTGGAAACTTGGAGAGCTTGAATTCAAAGCATGTTCAAAAGGGTCAGCCACATCATCAGTCATTGCATCCTCCTCAACAGTGGACCTGCCCACGGTTGATATGCTATGGTACGCACTAAATTCTGCAGTACCATAATTGAACTGCTCTTTGTCAAAGGCCACATCTTTCTGTATCTCCTCGCCACTTACTGATAGCCTATTATCCTCATTAAGAACTTGAACTCCAGTAAATTCATCAGACATCAGTTCTTCGATGCTCTCATTTTCTTCATCTTTGACATCCAGTTTATCCCTTTCTTCAACAACCAAATGAAGCTGATCACCTTCATCTCCTTTTTCATTTCGTATCTCATTGCATTCAGGTTCCAATGGCAAATTCTCGTGCTGATTTGGAGGGAAAAGAAAATGGCCTGACATAAACATAGCACGAGAAGTTTCAGCTTCACTTTCTCCAACTAAATTACTATGGCTATCTTCACTCAGATCAACCTGTTTGGAACCAGGGTCAGCAGCATATGCGGATGCAGTGAGTGATACGACTTCCCATTCGTTTCCCTTGGGAGCAGTTTCCATCCTGTCCTCATTATCGGCCATCTATAGAGATTTCAAGGTTTAAAAACTTCCTATTTGCTGAGGATAAAGTGGTGGGGGAAAAGAACCAAGTTTAAAAGTCAGAACAGAATTGCCAGAAACACAAAATATATGAATTTCAAGAAATCATCATATCTATAATATATTAAATATCACACCAAGTGAGAATCATTTTTTGGATGATTTTAACCTTACTACAATTCAATTATTTCAATAATACCTTACTTTTCGTTTTTCAATATGTAATAAATACTATAAAATCCTTATCATGTATCTATTGAGAATCATTTTTGGACGATTTTAACCCTATTATTTCAATAATACCTTATTTTTCGTTTTTCAATACATAATAAATACTACAAAATCATTGTCATGTATGATTTTCGTGTTATTAATTCTCAATTAATTAACATTCACATTAATCTAGGCTCAATGAATCTTGATCTACATGAATCTAGAGTTATTATAGATGAATTTATTTATATTCATGTATTTAGGAATTTTAATGGGTGTTTGAATTCATGTGTTAACAATTAATTCTTATGACCAAATGTAATATAAAAATGTTACGCATTTGTAGTATTTTATCATCACAAAAATTTGAATCATAGAAGTTGAGTTTTGAGAATACGATTTTTCTTCTCTAAATTTCTACCCTAAATTTTATTTTCTTTAGTTTGTTTAAAACTCATCAAATCATGCAACAAATTAGCATCAAATATTATTTTTACAGAACTTGAAAAGTATTTCAGAATAACGTGTAATACACGTTCAACTCTAACTAGTTAAACAAAAAATCCACTAGTAGAAAATCTTTCTTCATAAATGTACAAGACATGTGAAGGACAAAATATATTCTCCCTTCAAGAAAATATTGACGATGGATTTATTTTTTTTCCCATAAAAATGTCTATTTTTAGCAAATTTATCTAAGTAAACATACTGTTATCACAACTCTCTCTGATATATTGATCGGATAAATCCGGCCCAAAAGATACTGCTACAACTACTTCCGCTTCAAACTTATGAAACTTGAAATGCCCAAAGAGAAGTCATTATCCTAACTTATTTCAAGAATCCCATCAAATGAAAAGGATAGGTACAGAAAGAAAATTTGTGCAGATTAACATATAATGTAATGCAACTCTGAAATCCCAGAACAAAGTCAAATCAGTGCAATCTTTCCCAGTCGAAGAAATATATTTCAAGAATTCAGATATTGGAATAAGCAAGCCAAACTATATGTTTGTGTAACTCTATGGGGGCCTATGTACATGTTGGTAATTGGTATTCATACATATAATTGTCAAATCAAACAAAATATTAGATGATAAAAGACAAAATAAGCACTTAATTTCTACCAATAACTATTGAAGCTGCAAGATTCCAGTCAGCTGGAGCATGTGCACAGTCAGCAAGAAAAAGGCTAGGATGGATTGGTGACAAGGATACAACAGAAGAATTCTTTAGAAGGAGATTAGTTAGGCTCCTTTGTACAAATTGTATTACTTCAGTTTGTTTTGTTTTCATGTGTAAATTAGTTAGGTAGTTTGTTAGGAAAATATTCCATTTATTGCTGTATATATTCATTACATTCCCCTTTGTACAATATAGAGATTTTCATTGATTAATCAACACAGAGCTTTCAGCTTCATTCCAATTTATTCATTGATGTCTTTTATCTTTCAAAAGTTTACATGGCATCAGAGTCATAAATGGACGAATCTAATTCAGCAAATACAAACTCCCCCACAGATGCAAACACTAAAATCCAAATCAAATTCAAAATGCACAGCAACCAGAAGAAAGGAACTCAAATGTCCTTTCTCATGATCCAACTCATCCCAGCAGCCCTTATTATATTGGAAGTAATGATGGAAGTGGTCTTATGCTGGTCACTCACATCTTGGACTCAAACAACTACTACTCTTGGGCCCGTTCAATGAGAAGGGCATTAAAGATCAAAAACAAGCTAGGATTCATTGGCGGTTCCCTGTGTGAACCAAATGATCCCAGTGATCCATTCATAGAGCATTGGATAAGGTGTAATGATATTGTCATAACATGGATGCAAAATGCTATGGCAATTAACGTTAAGAGCAGCACCATTTATGCTGAGACTGCTCACCTTCTTTGGCTCGACCTTGAGCAGCGGTTTTCTCAACAAAATGCTCCACGTGTTTTTGAAGTTAAAAAGGACATGAAAACCTTGATGCAGAACCAGGATTCTCTGAGTATTTACTATTCCAAGCTCAAAATTCTTTTGGATGAACGAATGATTTATGAGAGTATTCCTAATTGTGCTTGTGGAGGCTTGAAAATAGTTGTTCAAATCCAGTAGAGAGACTAGGTTATGAAATTTTTAATGGGGCTAAGTGAGTCCTATAAGGAGATTAAAGCTCAGATCCTACTGATTAAGTTATTTCTTAGTTTGAATGAGGTATACTCTTTGATCCAACAAGAGGAGAAAATGCAAGAAATATCTAATTCAAGTCCTGTGAATTCTAATTCTATGGCCTTTTTTAGCAGAAGAAACTATAGAGAAACAGGAAACCAAAATTACTCATCACAGAAAAAGGACTGATATTACTGCACTTATTGCAAAGTTGCAGGTCACTCTCTTGACAGGTGCTTTAAGTCAAATCCTAACAAGTCACCATGCTCTTATTGCTAAATGCCAGGACACTCGGTGGATAAGTGTTATAAATTGAATGGATATCAACCAGGACACAGGTTTAATGACAAAGGAAGTAGTGAAGGACAAGGGCCAAGTATTCTTAAGTCGGGAGCAATACTCTCAGCTATTGGCACTCATCAGACCAGCAACAAGTCCTCAATAACTTTCCTACTCATCAAACAATTCTCAAACACCTGCTAATCTTCCACCATCAGATGATTTTAATCACAAAATGTCTGGTATACCACTAAGTTTAACAGCATTTCATTATGACCATGGAAACATTTCTGAAATCCCACGGATCCTTGACACTGGAGCAACAAATCACATGTTCAGATTTCACTCCTGAAGAAAATCTCCTTGCGTCTCCTAGTATAAGTCATTGTCCTATTTGCCCCTTATCAAAACAACACAAGTTACCTTTTAATACCAGTCACTGCAAGACAAGAAAATGTTTTGAATTAATCCATTGTGACATTTGGGGACCCTGTAATGAATTAAGCAGAGATGGCTCTAAGTATTTCTTATCTATTGTTGATGATTTTAGTAGATACACATGGATCTACATGCTGGTTTTTAAATCTGATGCCACCACTGCTTTACATGACTTTTTTGCCATGATTGAAAATCGGTTTGAGACTAGAATTAAAACTATTAGAATAGATAACATAGGAGAATTCAACATGACGGGATTTTATTCAAAAAAAAGCATAATACATCAAAGGACTTGTGTTGAAACACCAGAACAAAATGCGGTGGTGGAACGAAAACACCAACATATTTTGAATGTGGCAAGGGCTTTACAGTTTCAGAGTAAACTTCCTTTAAAATACTGGAATGATTTTGTATTGACAGCAGTATATTTAATAAATAGAACACCAACCCCAGTTTTAAACAACAAAAGTCCTTTTGAAGTGTTGTTTCAAACCCAGCATAACTATATTCATTTAAAGGTTTTTGGTTGTCTAGCCTTTGCCATCACCCTTGTCAATAGCAGACACAAATATGGTCCTAGATCCAAGGAGTGTGTTTTCATTGGCTATCCGTTTGGGATAAAAGGGTATAGACTGCTGGATTTAAAAACAAAGAAGGCTTTTATTTCAAGGAATGTTACCTTTCATGAATACATCTTTCCATTTAGAAACATTAACTCCAACAGATATAGCCCTTTGACTGATTTCAACCATCTAAGTTTTACACAGAATCCTGTTATTAGCAATGATCTCATCACTTCCTCATTTGATAACACCAATAACAGAGATGTTGAACATGATCTTTCAAACCATTCTGGACCCTCCAATTCTCATGAGAACACCAATCGAAACACAGAGCAACCTGCCACTGATATCTTGGAATAAAATCCACCTATCATTAGTCATTTACCTCGCACATCCAGCAAAATTCAAAGAGCTCCTTCTCACTTGCAAGACTTCATGTGTCAACAGGAATCTTCACCTCTACCACTCCAGAAATTCGACAGCAAAAAGGGAACTAGTATTACAGGTAGTATTTTTCCCCTTAATGATAGTGTTTCCTATGATAAATTATCCACTTGTCATCGTGCTTTTGCAACTTCAATAATAAACCACACAGAGCCTAAAACTTATCAAGAAGCCTTATCTTTTCCTGTGTTAAACAATCCAAAGAAATAAAGAAAAGGAAAATGAGGCTATGGTTTCATTAATTCTGCATAATGCAATTGAATACAGAAAGATATTTTAACCTAGATACAAAGAGGCTATATATAGGCTAAACAAAGAAAATCGCGCAGACTGTTCTACCCTTAATAAATAATAAAA